GTCTCCTTTCATACGACAGGTTTTCCATTCCTCGACAGGTTTTCCATTCCTCTGATCATCCTAGTGGCCCTTCTCTGTACCCGTTCCAGTTTGAGTTCATCTTTTTTAAACATGGGAGACCAGAACTGCACACAGTATTCCAAATGAGGTCTCACCAGCGCCTTGTACAACAGAAGCAGCACCTCCTTATCCCTACTAGATATACCTCTCCTAATGCATCCCAAGACCGCATTGGCTTTTTTCACCGCCACGTCACATTGTCGACTCATAGTCATCCTGCGGTCTACCAGTACACAGCACCAGGCGACAAATGCAGCTGGGGACCCATGTGCTCCCTCCAGGGCAAGGCTTTCTTGGATGGGCATGACCGTAAGAACTGCCAGACTGGGTCAGACTAAGCCCAGTATCCTGTTTTCCGACAGTGGCCAATGATGCTTCAGAGGGAATGAACAGAACAGGGCAATTTTAAGTGATCCCCTGTTGTCCATTCCCAGCTTCTGGCAGTCAGAGGCTTAGGGACACCCAGAGCATGGGGTTGCATCCCTGACCATCTTGGCCAATAGCCATTGACGGACCTGTCCTCCATGAACTTATCTCATTCTTTTTTTAACTCTGTTATAGTTTTGGCCTTCACAATGTCCCCTGGCAACGAGCTACTGGACACTTGGGCTCTGCACTTGCACCGACCGCAGCCCTGGGAGCGCAGCACTGCAGCACACCTGTCCTGTCTAAGGGGGAGGGCTTGGGATCCACACAGCCTGCAGCTGGGTTTGTTAGCAATGGAGACGTGTGCATGTGCGGCCACCCAGAGGAGCGTGGAGGAGTGTGCGGATGCATAGAGGAGCATGCGAGCGTGTGGAGGAGCGTGCATGTCCATGGAGGAGCATGGCTGCCCGTTTTCAGGCAGTACTCTACCTTTTCATTCTTCGCATCTGTGTCCAGCTCTGCTATCTTAGCCCACTTCTGCCAGAAGTTGGGGTCATCCAAGGAAATGTCGGTTCTGTTCCCTGAAGCGACAAAGCTGGCCTGGGGGTGAAGGAAGAGCCAGTTAACAGTCTGCAATCCATCCTCAGCAACAGCAAGAGAGGCTGTGTGCTCCCACCTGCCCCCTGTCTGTACGGAGAAGGGATCACTACCAGCCACCTCTTCATTTGCTAAGGGGGGTCAGGAGCCAGGATTGTTTCCAGCTCCCTGGAAATTCAGCCCTGGCAATGGATAAGAGGTGGGACAGCCCCACCCAGTCCAGCAGTGCCCAGATTGCCAGCCTTGGGAGCACAATGCAGTACTGCTTTCATGGGCTCCCTCCTCTATAGCAGGCACCTCAGCAGGTGGTTACAGATGAGCTCTGATGGCACTGATGTACGGTGCGCTGCACTCTCCCTGCCCAGTGATGGGAGCGCACAGCAGAGCCAGCCATTGCCCCTGTGCTTCAGGGCGACACCCCCCAGAGTCAGGTCCTATGCAGCAGGAGGGAGGAGGCAGAATTAGGCCACTGGGGTCCAAGAATGGACATTGAGCTAGTGTCTCTGCTCCAGAGGCACAGGGAGGGCAGCACGGCAAGAATAACGGCCCTGCACCTCCAGACTGCTTGCAACCCCGGCTATCAAGCATGAGTGCGCTGCTGCTCTGGCAGCAGGGGTTCCATGGGGCGGAGAGACCCACAGATGCTGCACACATGGCAGCAGGGGTTCCATGGGGCAGACAGACCCACACGTGTTGTGAAGATGGCAGCAGGGGTTCCATGGGGTGGACAGACTCACAGATACTGCGCCCATGGCAGCAGGGGTTCCATGGGGCAGACAGACCCACTGACGCTGCGCAGATAGCAGTAGGGGTTCCATGGGGCAGACAAACCCACAGACGCTGCGCACATGGCAGTAGGGGTTCCATGGGGCAGGGGTTGGACAGACTTTGGATAAATGTGCTCAGGCCCCCAGGACAAGGCCAACCCTGCAAATTCCCCTGGGATCTGTGAGAGAAGCTCAGCTCTTTCCTTCTCACACTTCCTCCTCACAACAGAGGGCGCAGGCCTGGCTCAGCCCTGAGGGATCCATGACAATGGATCTAGCAGGGGGGCGGGGGGAACACACAGCCGGCCCTGCCATTGGGATGCAGCTGGCAATCACTAGAAGGAGCAGACTCCAGCTCCCTCCCCAGCGCCATGGGGCCTCCAATGGTCCCTGTTGAACAGGTTCTGGACCGGGCAAGGTCTCTGTGCAACCAATCAGTATCGCTGGGGCCTTTGTGACAGCCCTTTGTGCAGTTGTGGTGCAAGGCAGACGATCACGCACACTGTCGAGGACTGCCTGCTGACTAGGTTCAGCAGTGGCCTAGAATTGTATCACAGCACTGGAGATGCCATCGCGTGGCTAGACGACTATGCACACGCTAAATAAATAAACTGATGGTAAGTGAGCAAATCTGCAGAGTACAAGGGATCTCCTCAGAACAGAGCAGCATCTCCTGGAGGTTCCTGAGGTGGGGGAAGGGATCTCTTCCAGTGCTGAGAACAGAACCCCCGTCTCACTCTAACCCAGTGGTTCTCAAACGTTTGTACTGGTGACCCCTTTCACATAGCAAGCCTTCAAGTGTGACCCCCTTTATAAATTAAAAACACTTTTTAATATATTTAACACCATTATAAATGCTGGATGCAAAGCGGGCTTTGGGGTGGAGGCTGACAGCTCGCGACCCCCCATGTAATAACCCCACGACCCCGAGGGGTCCCGACCACCAGTTTGAGAATCCCTTCTCTAACCGCTAGAGAACACTCCCCCACACAGCATGGATCGTCCAGACACCGTGAGGAACGCAAAAGCCTGGGAAAGGCTCCACAAGAGACATCCATCCTGGGTGAACTGGACAGAAGCCAAGCTGAGCTGCTCACATGGCCACCGCTCGCTGCCACAGGCCGGCCGGCATTCCCTCCTACTCTGGTTGGTGTTCCCATCCGGCGCCCTCCCGCGCTGCCCCGCTTTCTGTACCACCTGGACTCAGCTCATGACCTCAGCCTGCCTTTGGAGTACCAGTGAGTCCATGCAGGGCAATGGCTCAGCAGGGGTGGGACGCAGGCTGCACTGACACACACAGGGGAGCTCAGAAAGCAACAGGCCAAGCCAAGAGCAGGGAAACGAAGTCTGTGTCCCATCTGCCCAGTGCACCCCGGCCTCGCCCATCCAAAGCAGGCAGGCAGCCCCCCAGGCAGCACGCGCGGCACCTTAGCAAAGGTGGAGCCCTTCCCCTCCGACTGGATAGTGATCGTTTGGGTTCTGCGCTGCAGGATCTGATCGATATCTTCCTCACAGAATTTGGAGCCTTCATCTTCCTCGTCCATTAAAGCCCCGTACGCTCCTTTCCGTAGCAAGTCCTCGACCTCCATCTTTGAGAGCTGCTGCACCTGCAGAAGATACAGGATGTCAGCACTGTGCCAGTTGCCCGAGAGCCGGGGCTGGCCTGGGAGTGCAGGCATGGGGGACGGAGGCTCCCTCCCCGAGCCAGCCCTTGAAGGCAGAGGCATCTAACAGCCCCAGAGCCATGGTGCTAACTGGAACCGCAGCACCCATCCCTGCAGATGGTGCCTGTGGAGCTGCAAGTGCCTGCAATGACTGTGCTAGACCGCAGCTGAATGCCCCCAGACACAGCCTGCTCCTGACCCCAGAGTGGACAGGGAGGGATCTGGGTGAGATCAAACAAACACTCAGAGGGAAAGTGAGACAAAGGGCTGGGTAAAACCACAGCCCCTCTGCTGGGCTGCCCCCTGGAACTCCTGTTAATGTAGCTGCCCTTCCCGGCAGGGGACCTGCCCACACACTCCCAGCAGGGCTCTGCAGTTTCCTCTGGGCTAGGAATAATCCAGTCAAGCTACGAGACTTCACCTTCTTCACACTGGTACCTGGCCCTTCTCCTACCCCCACCCCTCCCTGGGAGTCAGGGATGTCACACAGGTGTGCTGGATCTTTAAGCTATCTTGTTTATGATGCCATGGCAACTGGCCACCGCTGCTGGTCAGAGTGCTAGGAAAGTTCGGAATCCGAGATGGGAGAGCCCTACCGGCCCCGGCCCCCAAGACCCAGGCCCCAGCTCTGTTACTGGAAACTGTTCGTGTGCTTTCATGCCTCCTGCTAAGTTGTCACCTCGTCCAGCTGGCAGCGCCGCCTGGGCACAGCATGCACCACCACGTGCCCTCTGCTCTCTCACAGGCAGCTCCCATCCGTGGTGGTTAGTCTCGACAGCCAGGGGACAAGGCACCTTTGGGTACACTCAGTTCCATCAATGTGGGATCTCAGCGCCCCTGGGATAGGCTCAAAACTCAGTCCTTAGCGGACATTCATCCATCCAGAGCCACAATAACCTAGCAGGGTCGGAAATCTCTGCTCAGGGCAAGTCAATGGCTAGACAAGCAAACATGGCATGGAGAACAACTGTGGAGGCTCTAGAGCTGGGATAGCAGGGGCTGCAGGTCAGGCCTGAGGGACATTGGCAGTGCTGGGGGGGCTGCAGGACAGGACTGACGTCCATGGCAAAGGTGCCTGAAATCTGCTCTGTCAGGGGCACGGATCCTCCTCAGGGTCTGCATGAATCCTTTGCTCCACACACTCACCCGTGGTGTGCAGGCGAGTGGGATCTGTCCTATACTATGGACCACGGGCCTACTCCGGCGGCTCACCCCTGCACCCCTCTGCACAGCCATGGGCACTGGGGGCACACACAGACGCAGCCACTCAGGGGAACGCTGCAAGGAGCAGCAGAGGCACAGAGACTTCCCATGGCCCCAGCCGGGCAGCCTACCCCATTGGTGCTGCCCTTGCGGTTGATGTCCTGCAGCACGGCCTTGTCCAGGCCCAGCTTGAGGCTGGCCTTGTCGAACATCTCGCGCTCGTAGGAGTTCCTGGTGATGAGGCGATAGACCTTCACGGCCTTGCTCTGCCCAATCCGGTGGCAGCGCGCCTGCGCCTGGGATAGCAAAGGCCACAGTGTCAAATACAGCATGCGGGCAGCATAGGCACGGCTCTGCCTGGAGCAGCCAATACAGGAGCCCCCACCCCTGCCCGGAGCACAACGGGCAGAGCCCAGCCTCCACCTCCACAAGGTGTCCTAGAGCTGACCTGAAGGACCCACCCCTAAGGAGCCTCCCTGCTGGGCTGGCCAGCAAGGGGCAGTGAGTGCCACGTGGATGTGATGCAGAGGCCTGTGCTGGACTCAGCCCACCCTGCACCTGAGCTGCCCTCCTCTGGGGCTTCCATTCACTGCAGTGCAGGCCACGCTGAAGCCAGGGAGGTCTCAGCGATCAACTACACACACACACACACACACGCATGCCCCGCCCCCGGGCCATGCTGGAGCAGGCACCTGAGGGGGGCAAGGTTCTGCCCTGCGCCCGACCACCCAGCACAGCTGCTCCTTACTATGCGGCACTTCCAGCACCACTCTGCTCTGACTGCCTGGGCTGGCATTCTTTAACTGGCCCCAGCGGTGGGTGGTATCTCATCCCGTGGTCCCATTGGCTGTCCCCAGCAATGGGCGGGGCCCTGTCCCATGGTTCCATTGGCTGTTCCCAAGGGTGGGGCCCCATCCCATGGTCCCATTGGCTGGCACACAATTCCTCTGTTCTAATCAGCACCATTATTCATGCAACCCCTGGTGCCCCACCAACACCATCACGGCCTTGCTCTGCAATACCTGGAGGTCGTTCTGTGGGTTCCAATCCGAATCAAAGATGATGCAGGTGTCGGCAGCTGTGAGGTTAATGCCCAGGCCTCCTGCCCTGGTGCACAAGAGGAAGACGAAGCGGTCTGAGTCTGGTTTGCAGAAGCGATCGATGGCAGCCTGGCGCAAGTTCCCACGCACCCGCCCGTCAATGCGCTCGTAGGTGTATCTGTTCAGACAGGGAACGGGGGACACAGCCGGGTCACCATACAGCCTGCACCATGCGGAACAGGGCGCCTCGTCTCTGCAGACCCAGCTCCTGGAGCTGCGGGGTGCCAGCCGCCAGACTCACAGCTGCTCTGGCAGCTCCAGGACACCCATTCCATGCAGGCACAAGGACCCTGATTCCCCTGCTCCTGGGGCCAAGGGCAGCAAAGCTGAGCGATGTGGGCAGCCAACCCCACATGGCACAAGGGCCTACGGGCTGTGCAGCACCTGAGGGCAGGAAGCTCTACCATTCTGGAGCAGAGACAGGGCCAGGGGCTGCTCCCTGTCAGAAACCCATGTAGGGGCCTGTGCTGCTCAAAGCTCTGTGCCTTCATTTCCAGGAAGCCAGCAGGAGCCACACTGCAACAGAGGGGGCCATGGACCTGGCCAGCAGACCCTGCGGCCTTGCCACTGCCTGACCCTGGGGGCAGCGTCCTGCAGGGTTCCCCCTCCCTGAGGCTCCCCCATAGGAAGACAGTGCAGCCTGCACCTGCTAGCTCCAGCCCCAGTACACAGTGGGTGATTGCGAGCTGGGGACATTATGCTCTACTGGTCACGATGGACGGGGCCTCTTGTATCAGTGCTGCCTGACGGGCATCCTGTGGGTTAAGCAGCCTGCACAGCCTGGGCTCCCCTGGGGCCAGCCAGCGCCGGCTGTTGATTCCCCACCAGGAACTAGACTCCTCTCTGTGGTGGCAGGGCCACTGAACAGCATGCCGGCTCAGCACTCAGCCACGAGGCTCCTATGGGCCCTGGGGAAGGAGCGACAGGCACAGGGGAGCCTTAGCCCACAAGGTTCTGTCTCCACCCGGACACTCCCAAGATGGGCCGACAGACAGGCCACGGTGTGCCCAGGGAATGATGCTCTAAGATCTCTGGGGGAGCCAGCACTGGGCAGCTCTCCGGACAAGACGCTGCACAGTAAGAACAGGCCTCCATACTCACCACTGGGGCAGATGGTAGTGAGGCTCCCTGGGAATATTGGATAGGTGGGGCCAGATCCACCCCCATCCCCACCCCCACTCCGCACACGCTGAGGGCACAAAGCCCATGTGAATCTGCCCCAAGAGGCAGACATATTCCCGCAGGGTAAAAACAGAACAAAAGAGTCACCCCCTTTCTGGCACAGCAGGCACAGGCATGGTCTTGAGGCTGCTCTAATCTGTGCTGGGGGAAGCACACAGGGGTGTGCAGGGGCCTTTCTCCACAGCCTGCACTGAACACAGCTCGGCTGCTCCCCGGCTTGGGACCGTCACTCATTGCAAACTGACCTCCATGCTCACTGGCAGTGGGCGTGACAGAGCATGGCACAGGGTGGGTAAGCAGCGCTGATGTAAGGATCCAGGAACTAGAGCCCAGGTCTGCAGAGCCTCAGATGGCTGACGTTCCCACAGTGCACTGGGAGGCCACGCAGAGCCCCAGCCATGGGGCAGAGTAGGGAGCAGGTGTCGCAGAGACCCCAGAGTGACAGCCCTCTGACTGGATTCACCCTATTGAACCCTGGAGGGTGCCCCAGGAAGTTGACTGTGCACTACACGGACTTTGGGTCTGCTGTGACTCAAGAACTCACCTCGTCTTCTGGTCTTGGCCTCTGACCCTGGCCTGTCTGACCCTGATTCCTGCCTCCCGCCTGGTTCCTCTGATCTCCCACCCCAGCCTGACTTTGACCCTGACTCTTGCTAATTGAATCCAGCTCTAGCTCACTGACTGCCGTCCCTGATGTGTGGACCCCAGCCCAGCTGTGACCGCTAGGTCCCTTACAGTGGACAGGGCAGGGTGGGTGAAGGGTGTGGGCAAGGCAGGTGAGGGTGAGGGGCAGGGCAAGAGGGGCTGGATGGGCTGATCCATGTAAATAACAGAGCAGCATCTCTAAGCCGTTTTCCTGCCACTTCCTCTGGCCACTTCTCATCTCCCAGCCGCAGCCCAGCGTGAAAGTAACTGAAGGGAATACGGCCGTGGCAGCTGCGTGTGTGTGTGTATGTGGAGATGGGCAGAGAGTGGGGCCAGGAGCAGGAGTCTATGCAGTTACCAGGACACCCAGGATCTCCCCCAGAGCAACTAGGAATGGCCCTGACACTCGAGCATCACCCCGATCTACCACCACCCTCTGCGGTCTCCCACGTGGCTCTTGCCTGGAGCTCTCCACCCTAGCCAAGGGAGCGCTGGGCCAGACTGAGTGCTGACTCAGCAGTGCTGGGAGCACACCAGAGCCCAGCGCATGTCTGCCCAGTGACCCCTACCCTGCATACCCGGCGAGGCTAAGCCCCTGCAGGCTTAGCACAGAGGGGGAGCCCCAACTGGTTGGGCTGCATGGAGGGGCCAAGAGTCCAGGGTGGGCGAGTAGAGAATGGAGTGAGGAAGAGGAGGCTGCTGAGGGCCAAGTGAGCAGCTGCTGTGACCTGGCTGCAGCTAGCTGGGGCCTCCCAAGCCCAGATGGCAGTGCTGCATTGAGAGCAGGGCCTGGCCACGCTCACCTGCACTGCACACCAGGGCACAGCCTGAGTTTGTCACCCAGCCCGTTCTGTGTGGGCAGGGAGGGCCGAGAGGACACGTGCCCGATGACTGGCACATACAGCAGGGCGGGGGGAGTGGGGAGTGCCAGGCAGCGCAGGCTGTACTGACCGCCTCTGGATGAGATAGTCCTCCAGGATGTCCAGGCAGCGCACCATCTGGGAGAAGATCAGCACCTTGTGCCCACCGGCGATCAGCTTGGGCAGCAGCTTGTCAATCAGCACCAGCTTGCCAGCCGCCTGGATCATGGCCTGCAGCTGGAAGTCCAGCGCCTCTGGGCTGTGCGACTTACGGAAATCTTCCAGGATTTTCTCCTCCGCCCCTGCAAAGCAGGAGGGGAAATCAGCCCTGGCTAGAGCTGTGGCCTGCCTGTGCTGCCCGGGCACAGCTGCCCTAGCCCTGCTCTCCACTGTCACACACCATGGGGTAGCAGGCCCCAGCTGCTGCCAGAGCCAGGCCCGACACCCAAACCAGATGGTCTAGGAAGCTGGTAAGTGGCCAGAACTACAGAGAGTAATGACTACACCTCACTCAATGCCCCTGGATGGGAGCTGCTGAAAAGCACCCACCCTGGGCGGAGCGCCTCAACACCATGAGGCAGAGTGGCGGCAGCACTGGCACAGCTCATAGTGCTGATGAGGTTGGGCATGTTGATGTGTCCTGCCCCTGGTGCCCCATGCCCCACGGCTCACCATTGATGAGATAGGGGTGGTTGCAGCACTTGCGCAGCTCCATCATGGTGTTGATGAGGTTGGGCATGTTGTGCTGGTTGGCGCCCTTGGACAGGAAGGAGAAGTTCTTCTCTAGGATGGCCCGGTAGTATTTCTTCTGGATGTTGGTCAACTCCACCTCAATGATGGTCTCCTGCTTGGGCGCTAGGTTCTTTTCCACATCATCCTTCAGCCGCCGCAGCATCATGGGCTTCAGGATTGACTGCAGCTTCTTCACCTGCCCAGGACAAGCGCAGACGCACTGTCCCTCCCTGCCACATGCATGGCAGGCAGTGAAGACAAGTGCAGAGCTCTCCTGGGGCAGCCACCATGTGTGTGAGGGCTCTGTGCTAATCGCCTCCCAGGGACACCAGGGCAAGCCTGTTCTGCTAATACCGAGAGAGGACTTCTCCAGCTGCCAGCCTGCAAACTGTGCTGGGGTCTGAGAGCCGGGCTGGGCGGGACTAGCCTTGGTTACACCTGTGCAGCCCCACTGCTTTCACCTGGGCAGGTGTGTGACTACCTGGCCTTGTGCCCAGAGTTCATAAACACTTCTGCCTGTGAGCCTAGCTTCCTCCCCAGAGCAGAGCTCATTCCCAGGAGCAGGCAGTCCAGGGAGCAGGTGGTCTGAGAGATGCCTGCTGAGCAGAGGCCCGTGTGAACGCTCACTGCACAGTTCATTGCCTCTCTCTGAGCACCCAGTTTATATCCAGCTCCTGCCTAAAGTGAGCCTTTCCTGTATGCCTCAGTGCGATTCCTCCCCTTGTGGGCACAAAAAGTGTTGCTGGTACAATGCAGGCAGCTGCTCTGAACTGGGCCTGTTGTGAGCAGAAGGGAGGTCCAGGGCTCCAGTCTCACCGGGACACTGCTTGCTCTATGGCTCCATGGGCTGCACAGTGAGGAGGGGCAGACTCTGCAAGTCCACCCAGGCTCTCAAAGAGCAGTAGTAGAGTCCTCCAGACGGACCCAACACCAGGGATTCCAGAGGGGGTGTGCAGAACCAGCTGACTGCGCATGACAAGAACCTGCCCCAAAGGGCACAACTTTTCCAGAGCAGAGCCACTGACACACTCATTTAATTGCCCCCTTTGCATCTTTACATTTGGGAACGGGCGCTGGAGGGGCTGTGGAGGTGCCGGGCGCTGGAGGGGCTGTGGATGTGCCGGGCGCGTGGAGGGGCTGTGGGTGTGCCGGGCGCGTGGAGGGGCTGTGGAGGTGCCGGGCGCGTGGTGGGACTGTGGAGGTGCTGGGCGCGTGGTGGAGTGTGGAGGTGCCAGGCGTGTGGTGGGGCTGTGGGTGTGCTGGGCGCGTGGTGGGGTTGTGGAGGTGTTGGGCACGTGGCGGGGCTGTGGGTGTGCTGGGTGCATGGTGGGGCTATGGAGGTGCCGGGCACTGGAGGGGCTGTGGAGGTGCCAGGCGCGTGGAGGGGCTGTGGAGGTGCCGGGCGCGTGGTGGGGACTGTGGGTGTGCTGGGAATATGTGCAGACAGGCCCAAGGTGGGGACCCAAGTAGCAGCGTGGGGAGTCAGCCCACTCTGGCTAGGGCCATGGCTTGAGCCCATCTCCATTTTCTGTCTCCCAAGCAGCTCCCTTCTCTAGAGCTTTGCTCGCCCCCGGCAGAGCCAGCCCTGTCTCCAGGGCTGGGCCCAGGGCACTCTCAGGCAGGGTCTTAGCTTGCAGCGAGGAGGAGCCCTATTGCCTTCGCTGGGATTAAAGTTAAGTGCATGCTCAACTGTGTTTCTGGATTGGGGACCAGGTGTCCTGGGCCCCGCCTCCACAGCTCCTGGGCCCCACCCCCACAGCCCTGGGCCCCGCCAGCCCCTGTGCCTCACCCCTGGGCCCGGCTGGTACCTGCTCCTCTGTCTTCAGGTCCCCAAACTCCTCCAGGAACGCCGTCTCCGAGGGGAACTGCTGGGGCTCCAGGAAGTTCAGCAGGCTGAAGAGCTCCTCCACTGAGTTCTGCAGGGGCGTCCCGGTCAGCAGCACCTTGTGTTCCTGAGTAGAGCAGGGTCAGGGCTTCAGTGCTGGGGGGCAGTGCTCGTGCAGCCGGAGCCAGAGCAACGGGTTCAAAGGGGCTGGCAGGCTCACCCCAGGGACACTAACTTGCCCTTGCTATGACTTCACTCCTGGGGCAGGAGGCCAGGGCAGCGATGCAGCTGACTGCAAACCCCAAGGGTTTGAAGGGCCAAGATCTGCTCCAGGTCAGCAGGCCCCCATGCTATCCCTGGTCAAGACACAATGGCCATGCACTGGAAGGTCTCAGTCCAGCCCTTACTAGCCCCCGAGTCACAGGATCAGCAGTGACACCAAGGCCAGAGTGGTGCCAGGGCAGGGCTGCGGTAGCTCAGCAGCAGCACCACGTGGGAAGCTCATGCTGCCCCTGGCTGCGTGCCTGTTCTCTCTGGGGAGGAGCTCTCCTGAGTGCTGCTGGGCCAGGCCCTGTGCCCCCACAAGAAGGACCATGGCCCAGCAGTAAGATCAGTAGACTGGGAGGCAGAACTCCGGGGTTCTATTCCCAGCTCCACTGCTGGCAAGTCTCAGGACCGCTCTGGGCCTGCGTTGCCCCCTCCCCCCCCCCACATAAAAGGGGGCTGACAGTAGCGACCTGCTGGCGGGCCCATGTCTCTACAGTGGCAGGCTGGGGCAGAGCAGAGCAGGGCAGTTAGCAGTCACTGCCTGTACTTGTTCCTTTAACAGGAGGCACTGGCCCAGCAGGGGCCTGGAGCTGAGAGCCCAATGGGGCCAGCCCCTCTGGAGGGAAATGGCACCCCTGACTTTGGGTGGGCAATGGACAGTCGATTACACCCAGCCTCAGGAGCCAGCGTGAGCTTGAGGCGAGCTTGTGCTGCTCCCCGGGCGCTGCGTTAAATGCTCACATTTATCCCCGGGTCGCTCCGCACGCGGGGAGCAGCTCCAAGAGCTGCCAGTTGAGAGAACGGACGAAAGCCGGGGGTGCTGGGAGGCTGCAGCTTTCCAAGGGCATCGTGTAGAGGGTGAGGAGCCAGTGAGCAGCGCGGGAGCGAGGCCAGTTTGAAAGGCAGAATCCCATTAGCCTTGTACTGCCCACACCCGCAGGGCGGCTGTGTGGGCAACTACCACCCCACCCCATCATGGGGCATGAGAGAATCAAAGTCACTGAATACCAAGAAAAGAGCTTGTTTCTAGAGCACCTTTCATCCCAGAGCCCTTTACTTACCATTGCTAATACACAGTCTTTGTGCCATCCATCACTGGAAAGCAGCTGCCTCTAGGGTAGAACACAGCAGCTGTGCAGAACACAGTACCACTGCAGGACAGATGGGGCAGGGAGTGCTGGAGAATAGCAGCTCCCTTTGAGAGTGCAGGGGATGTAATTAGCCACGGTGGTCTGGCCAGGAGCAGAGGTTGATGTCCCCGCTCTAGTGAACTGGGCCACAAGATTTGTAATGAGCACAAGTGGTCAGAGCCCCTCTGCTAATGCCCTTCTGGCAGCACCTCACGCTGGGTCAGCAGCATCTGACACTGCCTTGGAGGGCCCCAGCCGATCACCAACCAGGCCCCACAGCCTGAACTGGGGAAATTACAGCTCAGGATGCAAAGGCTGAGGGCATCTTCCCAAGGACAGCCATGCCAGTTGACGGTGAGGGCTCGTTCCCCTTCACAGCCCAGCTCTGGCTGTGCCGGAACAGCATTAAGATGTGGCTGAGTCCAGCCCGCTCTGCGCTCTCGTGAGCATCCAGTTCTCACCAGAGCCATGAGCTTCAGCCCCTCCAGCAGCTTGCAGTTCCTGTTCTTCAGCCGATGGGCCTCATCGATGACCACGCAGCGCCACTGTATCTTCTTCAGCTCGGGGCAGTCGGCCAGGATCATCTCGAAGGTGGTGATCACCACATGGAATTTGAAGATCCCTGGAAGAGGGTTACCCTGAGGAGACACAAGCCAGGCAGTGCTGTACTCATGCCAGGCAGTGGGACACCCCAGACAGGCAGGCCGGTTGGACACAGCTACTGGGCAGCCCAGCACTGATCAGCGGCAGCTCTCCGGAGAGCCACAGGCTTCATCAGAGAGGCATTTCGGAAAGTGTGCTCTAATGTATCTGTGCAAGGGGAAGGCACTGCCATCCCAGGCCACAGTGACCCCCACAATGCCAGCCATAGGCCTTGCGCAGGGCCAGCGGGGGGACTGGTAAGCTGAGGGGCTCCAGCAGCCAGAGGGTGACACAGCTGGAAGTGCTGGTCTTGGGAAGACGCCCTTGGGGACACTGGGGCAGGGCTGCACAGGGGTCCTGACAGGCCATACCTCACATGCACTTTAGAAACTTGCTCTGACTGCAAACCCCCCCGAGACCATCTCCCCTCACACAGCAGGCTGCAATGTGCATCCTGCCAGGCCTCTCAGGACCCCTCCCTGCAAGTGCAGGGGGCTCCCAAAAGGCCTGTATCCCACAGATGGGGTGCCTCCCTACCCCTCAGACTGGGTGCTCCTGACACTCCAAACCTGCAGGCTGGGTGCCCCCCCAGCCCTCTTCGCCTCAAGATTGGGTGCCTCCCAGCCCACCGCGTCCCTCAGGCTGGGGCCCCCCCAGCCTACCACATCCCTTAGGCTGGGTGCCCCATAGAGATTGGGTGCTCTCAACACTCTGCACTCCAGGCTGGGTGTCCCCCAGTCCTCCACGCCCCACAGACCAGGTGCCTTCCCAACACACCACATCCCACACAGACAGCGTACCCTCTGACCTGTCGCTTTCCGGAATCAGAAAAGCAGGCTCCTGCCATGGAGGGGGCGAGACCATTCTCATCAGGGGAAGGCATTCCCACCCTCCTGCATGTCTTGGTTCAAGAACACCTTCCCCGCAGCTAGGGCAGCCCCCCGCGCTGGCCACACCCAGGCCAATCGCTTCATGAACAACATTCCTCGTGATGCAGAGCTAGGCAGGGAGCCAGGCTGCAAGGGTGACCCCAGGGGATCTGTGACACTACACCACATATTCATCCTGGGGGTATGATTATGACATAATTATGATGCAATTTGTACAAGATGAGTCATGTGAGGTGTCTAAGGAAAAGTTAGGATTTGCTGAATATGATTACCTTATTTGTGTGCATATTTCATTTTTGTATCTAAAGTTATGAATGTTCACTATGTATCTGTATTTCAAATGTAGTTACACCTGAGGGACCTCATCTATAGGCAAGACGCTTCCAGTCTAGACAGCTGGTTGGGAAGGACCTATTCAAGGTCCTTGGGACATCAGGGGAAACAACAGGCCTTAGGAGAAGCTTATCCTCCACCTGGTGAGCCTTCCTGAGAATGCTCCAGACAGCCTGCAAGTAATGGCAGCTATGGCTCAGCAAGGACATGTGACCAGACCACATGACACTGATCTCCATTTTGGGTACCTATATTTTTCCATAAACGGGATTTTGGAACAAAGGGTTACCACCACAAGTTAAAGCTATATAAGGTGTGGTGTGACATCACCTAGGGGCCTCACTCCCCAAACAAGGACACTCCTGGAAGCACCCGAGGAACAAAGACTGGACGCGGGGAAGTGTTGGTCCCAAGCTAAAAGGATTTCTAGCCTGTGTATGGAAACCCAGTGAACTGCTTGTATCAGAAGCCAGGGTGAGAGATTGCTAATTCGTATCCAATCTATCTAGTATGTTAGGCTTAGTTTGCAGTTTTGTTTATTTGCTAGGTAATCTGCTTTGATCTGTTTGCTATTATAATCACTTAAAATCTATGTTTTTGTAGCTAATAAACTTGTTTTATGTTTTAATCTAAACCAGTGTGTCTTTAAAGTGTCTGGGGAAAATCTCAGCTTGGTTTAACACAAGCATATTGTGCATATTCCTCTCCACATTGAGGGAGAGGCAAACTAAGTAATAAATTCAAATTGGTCAGGGTTTCAATCAGGGCAGGATGATACAGCTCTGGGGTCCTAGGCTGGGGGGCTGGAGGTTGGCTGTAGCCTCTCTATTGTTGGTTCATGCAGTGGCTGGTCAGCCTGCATGTAACTGCAGCTGGGTGTGTCCCTGCCTGTGCAAATGCTGGTGGGAGGGTAGGACTGGGAGCAGTCTACAGTTTGTCACAGCAGCACAGTGTGAGCAGGAGCCCAGGCTGGTGAGTCAAAGGGCTCCGTGGTACCCCAGTTCCAGGTAGTACTCCAGGGGGAACCCGTCACAGTATCCATCCCGGGAGCCACAATAGCAGTGGCCAAGGTGGAGAGACCCGAGGGTCACTGGGCCATGGGGAGCTGAGAGCAGCAGGCACCTGCGCGTCCCTGTACACCATCTCGTACTGCTGGATCATCTGCCTGCTGATCTGGCTGCCGTGGTACACGATGGCATTCATCTCCGTCCAGGTGCGGAACTCCCGCTCCCAGTTGGTGATGGTGGAGAGCGGCGCGATGATGAGGAAGGGACCATGAATGTCCATCAGGAAGATCTCAGAAAGGAAGGTGATCGACTGGATCGTCTTCCCCAAGCCCATCTCATCCGCCAGGATGCAGTTCTTCCTGCGGATGCAGCACAACACACATGGGGACACATTACGCCTGGGGACACATTTAATGGGCAGAAGGTTTAAATCAAACACAAGGAAGTCTTTCTTCACACAAGGCACAGACAACCCGTGGAACTCTTTGCCAGAGGATGTTGTGAAGGCCAAGACTATAACAGGGTTAAAAAAAGAACTAGATAAAATTAAGAACTCAATAATAGTGGGGGATTTCAATTATCCCCATATTGACTGGGAACATTTCACTTCAGGACGAAATG